GAGGGAGATGAAAACAAAAGACAGAGAGAAGCACGCATATAGGGGGTTGACAGGATATTGTTACTGATCTGATTTGATGAGATGGGCTAAAGAGTTTTTCTTTAAAAACCTAAATAAACAGTTGTTTGTTTTTAACAAATAGAGGGTGATGGCTCACAGCCTTAAAAAACCCTCCAGACTCTACCTCTCGGATCTAACTGTCAGTCTGAGTGGCTTAAAAAGAGAAACAGGGAAACTGAAATGGTCTTGCGCTTTGTAGTGACATACAAGTTCATTTCAAATATGAAAAGAAAAAAAAACTATAAGAATAAAGCAATCCCCAAAGTAGATTGTTACATATACGAGGGGGCTTCAAATGGAGAAAAGCCATTGTCTTTATTGCTTCATTCCACGGCCTCTGGAGCCCCTCGTACACACACTTTCACTGAGTCTCACAGCACAGACCAGACCCACCGGCATGGGTGGATTTCAGCTCAAGGCTGTTGCTTTCCCTGGGGAGCGGAGGATGGGTTCCACTTGCTGGGCTTGCCGTTCCCAGCCTGGCCTTACCCACCTACGCTCCTTCAGTGACTGCACAGGGGAGGAAGGCTAAATTCCTCCCTTCTGCAATCAGTTGGCCTTGACTTCCCACATGAATCTTCCTGGTCTGACCAGCTCCCAAGCATTCGCAAGGTCCTCTGGTAGAGATGAGGGCTTCCACTAAAGGTGCCCCTGAGTCCCACGGTTCCTTCCCAGGTTCCATACCTCCCTCCGCTCTACTGCAGCACACAAAATCTCTATGCACATTTACCACATCTCAACTAGTCTCAGAGAATCAGTAACACACAAACCATGCCCTTGGTACAAAACAACTAGAATGGAAGTCAATAATATATTTATTTTATGTAGACGTAGACACACACACACACACACACACACACACACACATGCACACAATATGCATTTACCTACCAGGGACTTCATTTATATGTTATATAATATATAATCTTAATGATGGGCTTCAAAAACTTGTGGGAAATTAGAAGTGAAAGATAATGGGATTTTACCATAAATTTAAAAAATTTCCATATATATGCATATGTACATGGAATTTTATATTTATATAATCCATATATTAATTTAAATTAAATGTATATGCATGGAAATTTCAGAGTACACATCTAAATAATTTATGGACCAGAGAAGAATCACAAATGAAAATTTAAACCTACTTAAATAATAAAATATTGTACATGAAAACTGTTGACTGTTCTAAAGAAAAGTTTACAGAGAAACGCACATCCCTGAAGTACACATGAAGACAAGAACAGTGACAAATGTTTAGGGGTTGGATAAAGAAGAGTAGCCCCCAATATGAGAGAGGATGATGATGAAGCATGCACATACCCAGCCACAGAGTGGATTCCAATGCACTGTGTCCCCATAAGACAGAGCAGGGCTGGCCAAAGGGTTTCCACGGCTGCAAGCTTTACAGACTCCACAACCACATCTTTCTCACGAGGGGCAGCTGGTGGGTTTGAACCATTGACCTTACGGTTAGCAGATGAGTACCCAATCACGGTGCACAGGGCTCTATATACATTACATAGATATAGTTATTACAATACAGGGACTTCAAAAAGCTACTGGAAATCTCCATTATCTTTGAATTCCATTTTCAAGTTTTTGCAGCCCTCTCATATATGACATTTCTTTCTAACCCTAAATGCAATTCCCACAGCTACAAACATCCCAATAACCCGAGGTTCACCTTCCATCACCTCCCCTGGGAGAAAATTGGACATCATACAGAGGCACCACCCGGGTCGGGTCAAAGTCTGGATATTTACTGAGAATGATGGTGAGGCTGTGGCTGGTTTCAAAGCACAGTTGAATCTGGGGTCTGGGGTCTTAAGAGTTGAAATAAAGGACAAATAACTCATTTTACGGCAAAGATATTTTAGGCACCTTCCCTATCTAGTCCAGTCAGCAGGCCCGCTCTCCCGAGCCAGCTGCCTAGCTCACTATGAAGCGGTCAAAATGGGAAGTATTCACTAAGAAAACATGAGCCATACTGAAAGAGCACGGCTTGACTTTGTAAAACAAGCATGATCTGCGTGGCGGGGAGCAAGTGCTCTGAGAAGACCATGACCTGCGTGGCTGGGGCACAGCTGCCTGTCCCTCCATGCCCCCACGGGGACACCCTCTGCAGCCACTCTCACTGGCCCCCTGGCTAACTGACCTGACAAGTCAGGGGCCCAGCAGGTGCAGGTGCAGAGCCTGTGTGCTTGGGACCTTTGCCCACCCACTGCCCTGCACTGGAGCTGGTACACTTACTCCATCTCTCCCAAGCTACTCTTTTCACTTACAAACAGAAGACAAAGAAAATTAAAATGCTCACCCCAACTAAAAGCTGGAAAAGAAATACTTCCCTGAAAAAATTCACCGTTTTCCAAAACAATCCATTAAACAGGCTCACCTGTCCCCGTTGCACAGCGCCGACCCTGGTGGTCCTGGCATGAAGCAGGATGCTCAGCTCAGCTGAGATAAGGGGGGCGGGCCTGGGAAGAGGGGCTCAGTGCGTTCCTGCAAGATACCTGGATGAACATCACATCCCTTCCTTCAGCAGACACACAGTCCAAAGGGTATCCACTCTCCAAGCTCTAAGCTGCAGGCCAAGCCCTCCCCCTGCCTGAAACCTTAGATAACACTGCCGTGATTCATGCATCAGCGGGGACAAGAACGGCCAGTAACTGAAGCAGGCAGCAAGCAACCATGCACAGAGAGGGGGGAGTTTCCACCCCCAGCCGAACTTTCCCCTAGATGCATCTCTGACCAAACGTTGCCTCCTACTCTGACACCCCAACATACAATATCCATTCTCCACCCTCAAGTCCTGCCCCCACCATCATCACAGCAGTTAGTGTGTAAAAAGTACAAAACCGTTTATCTGGATGCATTTGTCTTTTTGTCATATACTGGGGGTCACGTAGCTATTGTCCTTGTGTGCCTGACTTCACTCAGCATGCTGCCAAGGTTCATCCATGTCATAGCACATATCAGAACCTGATTTCTCTTTATGGCTGAATAATATTGTATTGTTTGCACAAACTACATTTTATCCATGCATCCAAAGACTGGCCTCTGGGTTGCTTCTCCCTTTGGGCTGTGGTGAATAATGCTGCAGGGAACACTGCTGTACAAGCATCTGCTAAAGTCCCTGCCTTCAGGTCTCGGGTGAATCCCTAGCAGGGAAATGGTTGGGTCATAAGGCAGTATGTTGCCTTTGGAAGAACTATTACATTGTTTTCCTTAGAGTTGAGCCATTTTACACCCCACTAGTAATGGACCAGGGTCCTACTTTCTCTGCATCAGTCTAATTTTTGTTGTTTTTCATTTTTCTAACAATAGCCTTCCTAGTGGGCATGAAGGGGATCTCACTGTGGTTTTGATTTACATTTCCCTAATGACTCACGACACTGAGCATCTTTTCCTGTGCTTATTGGCTATCTCTACATCTTCTTTGGAAAATTGTCTATTCAAGTTCTTTCCCCAACTGGTTGTCTTGTTGCTGTTAAGCTGCAGAAGTTCTTTTTATATTCTAGATACTGAACTCTAATCATGCCTGATCATGGAAAAAAAACAGAAAGCCTTCACAACTGGACTAGTAAACATCATGACAAATGAAGGAGAAACTGAAGTTGTTGATGATTTCATTCCACTTGGATCAACTACCAACATTCCTGGAAGCAGCAGTCAAGACATGCGAAATGATGTACTGCATTGGGCAAATCTGCGGCAAAATTCAAGTTCTGAAAAGCAGAGCTCTCAGGTGAGTGACTGAGATGCACCTGACCGGAGCCAGGGTCTTTTCAATCACGCCCCGCGATTAGGAAGGCTGGACAATGAAAGGGGAAGGGAAGACACAGAAGCACTGACGCGTTCACCCCGGTGCTGGCGAACTCTGATTGCACTGCGGCTGCCAGAAGAAAAAACAGGTCTAAGAAGAAACACAGAGTGTTTCTTAGAAACGAGGCCAGAAGGACTTGGCTCGCTTACTTTGACCACATCACGGGGAAAGACCAAATGTCAGGACAGGACTTCACAGCGGGCTGAGCAGAGGGCTAGTAAAGATGAGGTTAGCAAAACAAACCCAAAACAAAACAAAGCATGCTGCCCCATTGGGTTTCCAAGGCCCTAGGTCTTCACGGAAGCCACGGGCCATCCCCCTTCCCTCCCCTCCAGCAGCTGGTGGGTTCCACCAGCTGACATTCCAGCTAACAGCCTCAAGCTTTACCCACTGTGACACCAGGGCACCGATGTCCTTGAAATAACAAAGTGCAACAGTAAACGTTAACACAACTGTTTAATAGTTAATGCTTGCTGTGACCTTGAACAGGCAGAACACTTGAGTTAAAGGAATGAAGGGTAGTCAGTTAAATCCACTTTGCTCCTGGAGCTTCATTGATTCCAGAAGGACCTTCTGGACAACTGTTGTGAGGACAGATGACGGACAACACTGTTTCTGAGATTTGTTCCTCTGAAAAGTATGTGAGAGGACATTTTGACAGAGCCTTAATATGCACTTACTCTACATGTTGTACAACTATCACCACGATGCATTTTCAAATGACTGTCATCCCCTGAATAAAAAAATCAAGGAGTGCTGATGGTTAAGCACTCATTTGCTAGGCCTAAAGTCACCTGTTGAAATTCACCAGCTGCTCCAAGGGAGAAAGATGGGGCAGTCTGTTTCATCCAGTAAGTGCTCTGTGCTGCTCAGACCAACAGGGCTGGCATGTGGAGGAGGGCATGCAGATCCTGACAGGGAAACACGGAGGGGCTCACAGGCCCCACCTGCTGTCAATGGTTAAGTGCTCTACTAATAACTGAAAGGTTGGCAGTTCGAAGCCACCAGGCAAAGCCTTGGGGAAAAGGTCTGCCCACCAGCTACCGTCTTGGAAGTGCAATGGAGCACAGTGGACACACTGGGCAGCCATGAGTTGGAATGACTTGACAGGAGCTGGTTACTGGATAGGGAGCAAGGGCGGCAGAGGAGCGAGGAAGCCAAAGGATGGAAAGGTCCATCAGTGAGGTCTAAGCAGCGGTCATCTTCCATCTCTTAGAAGACTTTAAGCCTCTGCCTCTCCTCCCAATGTCCTGTCATAAGATGCTGCTGGATTCGGATCCATGTTTATAATATTCTAAGACCAGTCCCTCGACTAGTGCTCTGAGCATCTCCAGGGCCGCGGCTCCAGCTGTAGTCCACTCCGTGCATACCCTTGAGCTCTGCTTTGGGTTGTCACCCAATCTGGGAAAAGTTTGATTCTTTGGGGTCTGCGTTTTAGAAGGTAAACAGGAACTGCTACGTGGTCTAGGAAGTCCTCTCTGTGTGCTCCACCCTCTGTCCTATGCATGAGTCCTGAGCTTCCTGGACGTCCGTGTGTCCCAGCCACTCTTCCCAGGCCTGCGTTATCGCCCAGCACGCCTTCCTCTCATCCGGTCAGATGGCTCTGTTCTCTGCTGTGGGGAGTTTCCTCACACATGCAGAACAGAGCTTAACAGTACTGATTGAAAATAACAATCATAATAACTCACTGCTATCAAGGCAGTTCTGACTCATAGTTAAGGAAAAATTAAAAATAAAAAAAAAAAAAAACCTAGAAACCAAACACTGTAAAGTATAAAGTGCCTGCCATCCAATCAAAGATTTCCAGACAAAGCAACAGAAGAAAACACATCTGAAGAATATCAATCAATCAACCTCAACCCAGAACTGAGAGAGATATTAAAATGAGCTCACAGGATCATGTAAACAGTTAGTAAAATGCATTCATATGTGCACAATTTTTGAGAGGTGGAAGAAGATGCAAATAGAACTTCTGCACATGAAAGCTACAATGTGTAAGATGAAATTCACAACAAGTGGGCAATACAAACCAGCCCAAACCTACTGGCAAAGAACACTTCCAGGAAATAAGCTAGAGTATGAGACCCATGGACGCCTCCCGACGGTCTCATTACATGATGAGTCCTCAAAGGAGAAGACCTGGAGGAAACAGAATCTGGGGAGAAATCACGGCTAAAATGGTTCCAAAACTGATTAAAAAAAACACATGAAACTATTAACATAGAAATCCAATAAGCTACAGTGGCCCCCAAAACAAGAATTTTAAGAAAATGTCAAAGCAAAATGCTTAGATCCAGTGGTAGAGAAAAATCTTAAGAGCAGCCCGAAAGAAAAAGAAATGTTACATGCAGAAGAACAAAGATAACAGTGGCACTGGCAGATTTGTAAGGAAGCAGAGCAAGCAGAGTGGGGTGTCCTGACAGTTCCAGGAGAACCGCTTGAGTCCCCAGTCTGTGACTTGTCACAGATTGGACTCTCGGCAGTTTGGCAGCTATGCAAAGATGTCATCTAGCAGTATGTTATGATGCAATCACCACCACCCCGCCCCAATTATGTGACCTGAGGTGATCAGTTGATCCACTCTAAGAGGATTA